GCCTGGCGTGTCGTGCGGTTTTTGTCGACAGTTAAAACAATAGCACTTTTCACGTGCTCATGTCGCTCACCCACGTCGCTCACCCACGCCGCGGGCTCACACTGGTTGTTGAGGGGAGAGGGGGAGGGGAGACGAGGGAGGAGGGAAGAGAGGATAGATGAGGGGAGGGGAGGAGAGGATAAATGAGGGGACGGGGGGAGGGGGAGAGAGATTTACAATGAACTTCCCCACGTCTCCCTCTCTCCCTGGCTCATTCATGCACGCAGAAAACACACACACACACACATTCCGTGTTTCCTCCAGTATGAAAACATTGAACCAGAGCTGCCCAACGATATACACCTGCTCGACCGGCGGTGCACTTTAAAAAAGTTTTAGTAAGAGTTTTACGGCACTTGCAACACAATAAGGCCATATAAGTGCCGAGGATTAGAGGTGTTACAAGAGAGTAACAAACACGACAAAGAAGGAGGGGAGATAATGACGATAGATGTTTGATAGGAAGGAAGGAGCAAACCACATCAGAGCACCCGCCAACCACCCACCGGCGGTCTCTCCATGGAGGAATGTCTAGCTGGCCCACGACTGTGCTGGGACAGATTGTCAGGGGCTTAAGTCTTACGTTACTCTTACGTCAGTGTGCACAGGGCGTAAGTCTTACGTTACTCTTACGTCAGTGTGCACGGGGCGTAAGTCTTACGTTACTCTTACGTCAGTGTGCACGGGGCGTAAGTCTTACGTTACTCTTACGTCAGTGTGCACGGGGCGTGTAAGTCTTATGTCAGTGTGCACGGGGCGTGTAATTCTTATGTCAGTGTGCACGGGGCGTGTAAGTCTTATGTCAGTGTGCACGGGGCGTAAGTCTTACGTTACTCTTACATCAGTGTGCACCGGGCGTGTAAGTCTTACGTCAGTGTGACAGACATGAGACACACCAGCAGACAAACAGACCCAGCCGTTGCCATGGTTACTGAGACGCCCCCCCCCCCTCCCAAGCTAACAAGGAAAACAAGGCTTGAGATGAAGAATGTTTATTCGGACATAGAGAAAATTTGAGTACATTCAGCAATCTTTTGATAATCCAAAACAGGGCTTCGAACCCCAGCAATACATTCACACAGTGACAGACACCTCCATGCTACCCCTTTCTCCCTCAACAACAAACACATACACACTGACCACGACACACACAGGCACAAACGACTGCCGGGCCAAGGGATGAACGGACACCCACCACACACCCACCACCAGCGTGCGGCCACACCACACAGTTCTGGGCCAACAACACACACACAACACACCACACACAACACACACACAACACACCACACATAACACAGTTCTGGGCCAACAACACACACACAACACACCACACACACACAACACAGTTCTGTGACAACAACACACAAACAACACACCACACAGTTTTGGGCCAACAACACACACACAACACAGTTCTGTGACAACAACACACACACAACACACCACACAGTTCTGTGCCAACAACACACATACAACACACATTTCTGG